AAAAATTAGCACGGAAGAGTACATAATTTGATTAAAAAAATGTTATCACGACATCGTATCAGAATTATCACAATCAACGTAGCTCAGTGTATCAGAGTAGCATAATTATTACGACATGGATGACACCTGCCCATATCACATGTAGAAGATTAACAGTAAACGTGAATTAGATTAGTCATGTAAAGTAAATAGATAGTGATGGAATGGAGCAAGAATAGAAACGGGAAGCAGTTGTAACAGTCTCGGCATATTGAGCTTTAGCAATCTGCAGCTGTGAACAGCTTTAACAATACTCACCGAGGCCTGAAACCCAGATATGCGTTGCGTTTATTTGAGTTCATCAGGTTTAGCCATTTGCATAAGCAGAACATTTCTGGTTTGTGACGTCCGTTGTGTCCGCAGCTTTTTTCAGTACGTTGCTGTACGTCAGCGGTCTCCGCATCGTAGAAATATATATTCCGCTTCAAATAAAGATCTGCTTGTACGTTGTTCCTAACTGTTGCATGCTGGCCTCATGGTCAACGTCTGTCGTGTGTCGGCTCCCATACCGGAAGCTCACGAGCTGGAGTAAGTAATGAATGCCCAACCAATTTACACCTATACGGCTGACCTCTGTTTTTTAATCTGCACATCTACCGAAGCGATTCTTGCCATGTAGTGAAGGGAATCCTTAGGATTCGTCGTATTTTTCATAGGTTTGCGAATGCAGTCAATTTTAGGGTCATTCTCGTGCATAACTCACGCTAGGTAGTGCCCTCGCTGGAGGTGAGCCCAGATATTCAAATTCTTCAACCTGTTGAAGCACTTCAGCCCAACTTCCACTTGAAGGTCGGGCGTACCAGATGCGTTCCTCGTGGGTTTTGATTTTCGGGAGTTAAGGGTGAGGCTATCTTTCACAACTGTATGGCATACGGAAGCAATGAAGTTACACAGCACACTTCTCTTACTGCTGAGCATGACAGTATCATATGCGTAGCCTATGTTAGCAAGATGTCTAACCCGAATATATTAAACCGCGCCTTCCGTCTAGAATGAGACCTTCGCGTTTGCCAAGGTTAGCTCTGTTTCAGAGAAGAAAGTCGGTAACAATGCTGAATAGAAAAAGACAAAAGCACATCTCCCTGGCGAATTCCACATTTATTCTGGCACGACTCAGATACCGCTCCTTAAACTTCGAGAGCACACATGCTTCCTTCATACATCGTTTCCATAACAGAGTTCTTGCGCTTACGTATCCCATGGCATTTTCAAAATTTTTCATGTTGTCGTACGATGATGTAAATCAAATGCAGCCGTAGTTTGGAGGTAGTTGACAGACCAAGACAATCTTATCATCGGCGTTGCTCATGATGCTTTCTAGAATAAAAATTTGGTCGGCAGGAATATCCTAGCTTTTTTGATTTTTGGCGAAATAACATCAACTGCCCGCCTATCCTTTCCGGGATAGTCTGGACGAAACGTTTTCCGGAAGTTGACAGTAGTGTGATACCACGATAATTGGAATATTGATTCACCAGACCCCTTTAAATTTAGCGACAGTTACTTCGCACTATCACATTACTTCACACCTCCATTCCCCTTGGAAACGTTTGTATGCCCTCATTTGTCAAAGCAGCGCATGGAACTTTTCTACTATTTCTGCCCCTCCATGCTTAATTGCCCCCAGAGGAATTCGATCAATCCAGCAGGCCTTCTTCATCTTGAGGTGTAGCAAGGATTTTTGGATTTATTTTCGCGGGTGGATCTATACTACCCACTGATTTAGACCAGAAATTAACGATCCAGGGGGACGAATTTGGATGACAGATTTCCTTTGCGTCTTTGATAAGGACAGATCGAATTTTATTCTTTCCGACTAACTGTTTCACCCCTTTGAACACTGCTCGCCATTTACGTTTCTGGCTGCGTTGTCACTCTTCCTGTTAATCTTCCAGCAAAAGTTCCCTGTCCCACCTGCAGTAAGAATGAGACCGCGATGAACTACCTTCGAGGGTTTAGCATAGTGTTGCAAGTACTGATTCCTTTGCACGCATAGGGCCAGGGCCATCTCCTTATCCAAGGGAAGTTTGACCGTTCTTGAACTACGTTTACCGTACTCGAACTACGTTTTCTCATTGCTCTCTACACACACCCTTCAATGTTGTCTTGCGTTGTCTACAGTTTATGAATAGCTTGCAGTCGTAGGCTTCCTGATCAGTTTCCTGAGTCAATTTGTTTACTTGCCGATGTTAAACTACGTTATATCGTTACGATAGATACCTCTTGATAGTACCTTGTACTGGAATTTATCTGAAATAGCTAGTTGATTTAATTTGTGCGCAAATTGTTGTTTACTGCAGATTCGCAGAGCATGATTTTTTTATGTTATGCTGGATTATTATAATTATTTGCATTTTCATGAGGGATGTCTTAAACTTGGGTCTTGCTGTGACGGTGAAAATACTTCGCAGATGAAATCATGTTACCATTTTTTGATGTATCTGACTTTTGTAACCGAACAAATTTACCTGAGCCAGATTTGTTCCTTTCTGAGTATTTATCTCATTTCAAACTTGCAGTGACGTCAACATAAATTTTTAAGGATTTCTTGCCAGTCGAAGTCGATCTCAAATTTCAGCAGCGTCGTAAGAACTTGGACCTAGCGATCCAAGAGGCATTCCTCCGGTTCATGGCATTGCTGCTCAAGGGCTACCAGATGTACTTGCGCCCGATCAAATCTGCGCCGTCGGTCGGTTCCACTGATCTGGAGTCTCTGTTCGACGTCAACGGATTTCTGCGCAGTCGAGACAAGTCCAGTCAGGAGTTCTATCGTATTTTGGTGGGCACACAGTTGTTCATCCGCTTCATCGAGGAGCGTTCGTTCCTTACCGACAAGGACACCAACACGTACCTGGCATTCTTCGATGACTGTATGGAAAAGATCGACCAGTTCGGTGAGGTAACCGACCATCAGAAGCTGCTTGAGATGGAGACATCGGTCGACTACGACCATGCGGTGTTGTTCGCGCCGTCTGAGTCGCCGAAAGCTGCCGCCCCGTACACCTACCACGGCATTTTCCCGAAGCTCGATTTCAGCTTCGTCGGATCCGGCAAGAGGGTCAACACGTTTCGAGCGCAGCGCACACCGGATTCCGGCGGATCACTCATTGAATCCACCCCTGCCGCAAGGCGCACAAAACAGGAAGCGAAGCTGGCCATTAAAACGGCTCGTGAGCTGGCGCTTTCTCCGTTGCAGTGGGCGAAGTGTCTGCTGCTTTACACCTACAGTTTGTGGTTCATTCAGTTACCGGCATACATGAAACTGTCCTCGTCAAAGAATAAGTCTCTCATGTAATTTATTTTAATTTAAATCTTGTTTGTGCATGTGCGTAGCCATGAATCTACCATGATGATATCACTTAGCCTCATCTTCTCCCCTCCCCGTTTCTTCTTAACGTCGGAAATTTGTTGCTACTTAAACAGGCCGCGATTGAACGATATTTCTGCTGGTGCAGTACATAGACGAGTCCGATCATTTCCACCCTCGCTATGCTTTATCAGCAGTGTTAAAACGTTTTCGAACGACAAGAATATTTATAGGCATGAATTCTTTCCTGCCTGCACTGTTTTGTTGTAATATTTTTGCTTCAAAGTATTGCAAACGTAGGCCAAATTACTGTGGTTTAATTAGATGGTTACGAAATTTAAACGGTAAAAAGCGACGATAAGGATTTACTTGAAGATCTTAGCGTTTCATTTTGACACTTGCAGCATCGTCAAGACTGATTGTCGGTCTCCTAGCGATGTATTAAAAAATTGTTGTGTGCAATGTCCGTTCGTATAATCGAAAAGCCCTTCAGTAATCGTAGCATCAGTGTTTTTCCAACCACCGCTTGAAGAAGACCTCACCAAGATCTTGTCACAAACTTCTGTCTTCTGCAACTGTCATTCATCTTGATCCAGCAAAGTTTTTCGCTTCATCTCATCATCGATCTAGAGGTCTTCCTGTGAGCCGTTTTCTCTCTCTTGTAACGCAGTTTCTCTCTGATCGAGTGGTGGTCGGTTGGTTGTTCTTACAGCGTCTCCTGACAGTTGCTAATTTGACTTCTTCGCTCGGGCAAAGACATCACCGATACGTTTTTGTGCTTTTATCTGTTCATTGGTCTTCCAATTTTTTTAAATAAATATTTCCTACACGTTTCTGTAATGCGTTGCGTAGTCTTCAGTTTACGAACGGCTATTAGGCTTGTGGCCTCCCGGCATTTTTCAGAATAGAAACATTTTCGGTGTGCTGAAAGTGCTCCATCGTTCCAGGCCACTTTTATTCTTGTTTTGATTTCACGGAATCGATTCTCTGTTACACAAGTGACAGAGTTTTGCACTTCTTCAAGATCCTAAGTCTTTTGACTTCACTGGGTCCAGCGGCCATTTATTTGTTAAATATGGCCTAAGACTTCAGGTTTATTTTCGGTGCTATTTTGATGTTGGCGTCGTTCAGCTCTTATATTCTTGCTTAGGGTTTCTGAGAGAAATAGAGCATCGCCCTGAAACTGCAGGTGAGTTGAGTGGTGCCCAGCTCCTGATTACCCCAACAGGATATCTGGGAAACATTCTATAGGTGCGTGACGAGTATGTAACAAGCGTATAGACAAGTTAATCCATCACTTCACTTTGCATGAGCGCTTATCCTTTCAGACAGTGCTGGCAACGTTCGCGATCCTCTGCCAGAGTCAGCTTCGTCACCAGACAGTCGGGGGCTATAGCAGAATCATTCCATATTTTTGCATCACCGTAATCTTGGCCGTCCTCTGGGCCTTCTGCCGGTCAGCCGGACAAAAAATAGTTGCTTTGTTTTCCTTTATGGAAGCATTCGCAACACGTCTCCACTCTATCATGCCGTCAGTAAATCCTTTTCACCTCTGTTGTTCTCTACATCTCTAATTAAGCAGCAAATCTGCCTGGATAAGCCGTGTCTTAGGAGGTTGAGCTATTTCAACCCCTTAGTAATTGGCGTTTCTTTGCATCTACGGATAGAGCCATATTTTTGGTTGCCAGCCGGTCTGCCGAACCTCTGTCTGAAATTTTGGCGAGCCATGTAACGATTTTGGGCGCGTTCAATCTAGGAAAGATTTGCAACCAGATTCATTTCTGTTTTTATACCTTTTTTATCTTTAGCAGTCTTTTTCTTTTTAGATTATAGCCATTTCTAATAGGCAAGTAATTATGGGAAGAGGAAGCATATCGTCGATGTTCTGGATTACCTACTGTATAGTAGGTTTCCAGTTCTGCTAGTAATCATAATACTTCAGTTTCTCATACTATAGTTGCTCGTCATAAGTACAGCACCCTTTGCTTCTAGTCGCCTAAAGGGACCGTTTTAGCAGGCGACGGTTCCACGGCAGTAGAACACCTGCGATGCATTGGATGCAGGACCACGTCTGAGTTAACTGAAACAATGACTTGTTCAAATACGAAGTAAATCTGCCATTCTTCGTAGTTAAATTTATGAAGCAAACATGGCCCCCATGTTTTGCGGTAACTACCACGTAGAAGCTAGGGTAAGTCATGCACCGTTTGATGGAGCGATCGATACGGATGGGCCATTGTCTTTAATTTTTGATCTGATAAATGGGCATGTTTGAGTTGAAACACAAGTGACATAGCGACGTTATGCTGGATACCACAAACCAGGTATGCTGTGCCATCGGACGTAGCCTAGAGTAATCAATGAATCAAAAATTTAATAGATCTTATGGCTTAAATTGGCGCCCAACTACCACCGACCGACTGACTTGATATATGTATATTTATGGCACAAGAACATGCAAAATACACATCACTGAAACAGGGAACAAAGAATAGAAAAGGGCAAAATGGTGAGTAGGAAGTTAATGCAGATAAATATGTAAATGTGTGGTTTAACATGAAAGGGTCGATTCATGCGTGATGATCACAAAGACACGTTTTGTTTTTATGTATATTTACAGAGCAATTGTAATAAAGATAGAATTTTTTTTGATTTCATGACGTAAGAATTTAGAGTCGCTTCGAACGTGCTGAACCGTATGGAGAACGCCAAACTGCCTATGGTCGACGAGATCTGCTATCGTATCATGATCCAGATGTGCAGTCTCTACGAGGACCCGGTTCTGGCTGTCAAGATTTTCGTGAACATGCGGCGCAACGGCATTAAACCAAACGCCGTCACCTATGCTTTTTATAATCGGGCCGTGTTCGAGGCCCACTGGCCAAGTGTCAAGGTGCTGACCGCACAGAAACATTGGACCAAGGTGCGTCATGTGGTGAGAGCGATCGCTCTTCTGCGCGTTGCCGTGAAGGCCAGGTATCGCAAGCGCCGCACAGCCAGTCAGTACAGCAGCGAAAGTGGCGATTTCATCAGCCAGGGCAGTTCTTGTAGTCAGCAGGTCAGGCAGGGAGACACGATTTCTGTAAGAGTTGTGCTTATTTTCTCCAATACTTATTGTTTGTGAAAAATTCATATTAACATATAGTTTGTGGTGCTACTAATGCTATCCGTCCTGTGCCAATTCGGTGACATGTTCTACTTTTCGGTCCGTGATGCTTGAAAGACGTAAAATAAAAGAAACAGTGCTGTAGTATCAATAGTATTGACTTATATTCGGAGAGCTCTCAGCTGGTATTCAGATTTTGAAAAATATTGAGAAGCCAGCTGATGCGTTTCAAAGGTATCGAGCGAAAATCCCAACAAAATGGTTAGATTTACACCGTACCTTCTGAAGGCGGTCTCATTTACCTATATGTGAAAGCGGCAGCAACATGGAAGAGAGAAACAGAAGAAGATGGTGTTTTTTTCATCTGCGTAACAATGGACAAGAATCGAACGGGAAAGGACGAAGGCAAACGAAAGATTTGCAGCTGGAATAGAATGAATGCGAAAAAGACTCGCCAGTTGTGTAACATGCGGCATTGAATGAAAGGAATACGTAAGGGAATTTCCTAAACTAGAATGTAAAGGAAACCATAGTAATTCAGTCAAGCCAAGACAAATATATTGGTAAGGAGCTAAGTTCATATTGGAACGAGTGTGTAAGAGCTTTCACTCTAGAAACTACAAGCCGTTATTGGTTGACCAATATTGTTACGGCACTGTATAGAATTTTACTTTAACATTATCTGTTTTATTTCCAGTCTCTCCCTGATGCAGGATGTAGCATGATCCCTAAAATTGGCGGATATGTATATGATAAATTCAATATACGGCATCATCCCCTAAAGAGTTTTTCGAATTCTGAACTGAGTTCCCACATAGAGGTTTCATTTTTGATATTTTTTTAATTTTCTTAGTGTTCCATCTGGAAGTGCTTTGCAGTTTTTGTAGGTCTAGAATTGAGCCCAGCATCGGCCTTGATTCTCATAACATCGAGCAGCTTGTAGGACTGGTAAAACTTGGTGCAGTTACCGTTTAGATCAAAGCCGCGATTGGTACCTTAATCGTTGCTTCGATTCTAGAAATTATTCAGTTCAACAGACTAGACCGTCGGCTGTACAGAAGCAGTAGCCATAAAGATTGAATTCTGAGAAAGCCTTGGAATCAGGTAGCAAATATTGTAACAAATGATGATTTTAAATTGTCCGGAAATGTTTACATGTTGAATATAAATAAAAGTCTGAACTTTCCATGGCTATTCACAAAAATGATTTTCAAAAGCTTAATCGACGGTATTTCGACCGACTAAAAGTACGGCTTTCGCCAGGTTCTTACAAATTAAGGAGATGAATTGATAGCAATGAATACTTCTTTAGATTTTCGATTCTGGGCCCATGGTTATGTAGATAAGTGTTTGAACGATTCATGATTCGTCAGATATTTTGTGTCCTGAGCCATGAATCGTTCAACTACTTATTTGAATTGATTGCAAGTGGTGTGTTAAATGATTGCTTATTGGTATAACTTTACCGTACTATATGAATGTTAAGCAGACAGCCTTGAGTTGAAAAATAAATGAAGTTAATGACTGTGTGACATTGTATTTTATGCATAGATAAATACCTTGTCTGAAACGGTTCCCGCTGCGGATTTCGAGCTGTCGAAGGATCTGGCGGATCAGGGTTACCTTAGCCAGACGCTTGATGATGTGTACGAGACGAGGTCAAAATTGTCATGCTTGACTCAAGGAAAGGTCGTGCCAACACAGCATAAAGCGTGCTTTTTGGCTGCGTGTTCGGGATGCAGGACGCCCGCTTATTCCACGTGCCTGCACAGTAGTACTGCTGGATTGTTGATGTCGTTTGATACGTCGTCTCTCAACGACTCGGTATTCGACAGCAGCACGGCGTCATTTGGGCCTGCCATCTCGAAACGCAGGAAACTCAGCTTAGGTAAGTTTACTTCATGAAGTGTTCCATATGCCAAATCACATTGCCACTATTTCAGACGGCGACTGTCTTCATAACGCGTCATCGTTTGCTGACGTTTCTGACGACCTGAACATTAGCAGCCGCGAAGCGTTTGCCAATCTGCTGCCTCACGTCGAAGAGACGAGCCGCCCTGTTGCAGGTGGTGATTCAACGACGGAACTCTTGGATCTTCCGAAGATATCTACCGACGCCTACCCTATCGGACAGCCGCATGTCACCTCCAGTCCGGTGAAGTCTCCATGCATCGAGATCACTGACCATGATCCTCTTGGAGCTTTTGATGCAGTGCCCCTCTTGCACGAGTCAGCGCCTCCTAAGGTGACAGCTCAAGAAGTCACCTCGAATATTCCGGCGGATTGGGTCCAGCGACAACCGTTCCAGAACGATTCTTCCGAAGAGGACGATGGCGACGAAGCGCATGCAGGACTGGACATCGACAACGTATCTGAGTTGTCCCGCGCTTCATCTAGCAACAGCCTGATGAACATCGGCCGCTCGAGCGTCAGAGGCTTGTTGAATCGTTTCAGATTTTCAGGTACGCCGTGCGGCATTTGTGTAAATGCAAAACTGTGTTTATATGAAGCAAATCTGTCAGGCGGTCATTCTCACATCAAGTGATTGAAGCGCCTTTGTCATCAAGCAACGTATCGCTGAGATCAACAGAATGATATGCAATGCTTCTAGTACTGTAGCTACTCACACGTCAGCGAGCTGTACTCTGTTTAAATATCCTTCCAACACACTTTGAAATCTGATTGCGAATTGTTTCTGCTTTTCAGATCTGTTATGACGCAAATTATTGGGAAAGTTTATCTCATGGTATTTTTCTGCTTTCCGTTAAAACGGA